TTATCTTAATTACTTTTAAATCAATACATGGTCTTCCCCGGCCTACATAAGTGAACTGATTTCTGTTAGAGACACCGGAAGATATGACTTCCTTTCCAATGACGGCTTACTCCTTACTCCTTGCAGGGGTAAAACACTCACCACGCTCGGCGATCGATCTTGTCTCGACACTTGTTGGAATGAACGCTTTACTGCATCATCTACTCGAGAACAGTCTCGATCTTGTCTCGACACTTGTTGGAATGAACGCTTTACTGCATCATCTACTCGAGAACAGTCTTTCCGTCTTGTAATTTGATTTGGCCTTGTCAAGCCCTGTATGCCGGGATTCGTACCACAGAAACCTTAGGCAAGATGAAAAATTGCCTGCACGTGTGGCAAAGAATCGCAAAATTTATTCGTATGAGGTAAATTTTACATAATTTCGCGAAACCGAGTCGTTTGTTTTGTTAATGCGTCTTCGACGTCTTTTTGCTGTCTATGATTTTGTTGAAAATTGATAATTTGACTCTTGAATGACTACAAACATGAACTTAATATGAAACGTTGGAGCGTGCGTAACTCGCGTGACACCCTGACAGCCCAACTTCATCAGCTTGTCAGCAACAGGAGTGAGAAACAAATGAATGACAGAAACAACCGGAGCCTTTTCCCACAGCACCCTCCAAATTCTGCTTATTCGTGAACTTATTCGAAACAAGGCATTTTAAACATGCCGTAAATGCCACAAAAGTAGTAACCTGTAAATTTCTTTGGTGTAATGATAATCACGTCATCCTAACACGCGGAAGGTCGCAGGTTCGGGCCCTGCCAGAAACAAAAGGTTGTCACAATCGTCTGCAACATCAGAAATCCAAGTTTTATCATCATCCGTTGAATTTTTTTCTGAGTATTTTGAGGCTGAGATAAACTAAAACACGCGCTTACTGGTGGCCACTCAGTCACTGGATTCTTCTGTTAATGCTCGTGTAAAGATCGGATGAATAAACTTGTTGGTATGACACCTTCGCTGCACTATTTACTCGCGTTCGTATTTCCACTATCGACTTAACAGTATTTACATTTTCAACCTCCTTCTTGTGATTATTTGTCGGGATTCGCACGAGTGATGTTCATCCCTCCCAATAAAAACCAAGAACGAAATGACATGAAAATAGGTCCGCAACGTGTAAACGTGTGCGCGTAAAATTGCTATATGTACACGCAAGAAATAAATTCCAAATGCGATAATTTCGCAAAAGCAGTTATTTTAGACAAAATTTGAAATCTTCATTTGTATTTTCTTTGATAGTAGTGAATATCAAA